CCTCTGGGTTTTGCGCTGTGTGGGGGAAGGGGGGGATGCCTTGCGTTCATGTCATTTCCCTTCCGCACACCTGCTGCTGTGATGCACACTCTTAAAGTTTGCTACCAGAAACCTTAAGGCTCTCAACGAAACAGGAACCTGCAAAGTCTAGGTCCAGGGCAGAAGCACTGCTAGGAGCAATGCACGGCTGTTGCCAAGCGCACCTGCACTGCGTGTGAACGCTGAGCATGTCTGCTGTCATGCGCGCCGGGCTCAAGTCGAAACTACATTATCTAAGTCGAGAGTCGCCAAGCAAAGTTTGTCTCTTCGTAGCTATGGCACACACCACTTGGGTACCTCCTGCCTGGGCAGTCGATCTTCGAACAGCTCTGGAAAAAGTGGCCCCTGAAGCCGCTGCGCGCTTGCGTGCCTGCCAGCTGAAAGTCGCCACAGACTGTTCTGGGATCGAGCAACCGATCACCGCGCTTCAGGCGTGCGTGCTTGAAACAGTTTATGTGCTACCAAGGACAGCCTAAACTTGTCCTAGTCTCAGGTAACAGGAAAGACGGGGTCTAAAATTCTAAAATAGCAGTCGCCCATTTTTTTAGGCGCCAGAAATCAACATAAGAGGTGCTGGATGTGGACTACACCCACCAGTGGTCGAGCGAAGTCGACAAGATGACCCAGAGTTTCATCGAAGAGAACTTCGCGCCAGACCACGGGGTGTACGAGGACATCCTCACGCGTGGGAAAGTCGATGTGCCGATCAATGGGTACTGCGCAGGCTTTCCGTGCACGCCATTTTCGCTGTTGCGCAGCAACAGTGGATGTTGGGAGGAAGCTGCGGCGGGCCCAGCCAGAGAGGTACTGAAAACAGTGGAACACGCACGGCCCTGTGTGGCAATTCTGGAGAATGTGGAGGGTCTGAAAAAAAGACCGGACACGTGGGGCAAGTTCCGCGAGCTCATCTCGGTCCACATGCGGGGGTACCGCATTCATTTGCTTCACCTTTGCCCCACAGACCTTGGCCATGTGTCTCGTCGACCGAGGCTTTTTTTACTGGCCATACGTCGAGACGTACTGGTGAACGACGCGGACACAGTGAAGCAACTGCTCTTTGCCGCCCAGCAAGTGTTTCGCGCTCGTGACCAAACACCTTGGTTGAGGAATGATAGCTGTGATGAGTCGAAGCAAAACCGAGACAGTCGCGATGAGAACGTCGGGAGGAGTTTGAAGTGGCCTGCTCTGCATGAACAAATCTGGAAGAAAATTCGGATGGAGCAGCCAAACCCTCGAGGATGCCTCACGCAAGCGGCAGACCTTCCTTTTCTCACTGCACGGGAGAAGGACATTCTTCATATGCAGCAGCATTTGTATGGTGACCACAAGTATCTTGCAGTGGATGTGTCCCAGTCGGCCTCTCGTGTTCCTGTGCGCTGCGATGGAACGATCCCTGTGCTGGCCAGGTCGTCCAGAATCATCTTGTGCTCGCCCCAAGGGGTTTGGATGATGTCTGGCAAAGACAAGTTGGCAGCACTGGAAGCACCTTTTCATGAATGGCATTTGGGCCCTGCTGTAACAGATGCGGTGCTTAGTCGCTGGGCTGGAAATTCCATGCACCTACGCTGCATATCACTGGCTTGGATGACAGCTCTGCTCCTAGTAGATTGGGACAATCCGCACGCAGCGCCTGGCTTCAAGCCAGCCCAGGAAGAACTGCAGCCTTGCACACTCTGTGAATGGACGTTTAGTCGTGAAGCAAATGAATGGTTCGGGAAGGAGTGCAACCTATGCCTACATCAGCCAGATTCGAGTCGCGCCCCGCGGCAGCAAGTTGCAGAGGCAGAGGCCCAGCGCAAGCCTGGTCGGAGGGCGACCAAGTCGACTGCAAGGCCCAGGCGCGATCCAAAGCAGAAGTTGGCAAAGTCAGGAAGTGCTGCCAGGAGTCGCAAAGGTGCGTGCAGAAAACAATCGACACAGAAAACCCAGGCAGGCAGACAGCGCTGGTCCTTGGAACTTCTGTTTGCACGCCTGGACTGCACGCCGGGCAGCCCCAGAGTTGCATCCCACAGAGTGAGCCGAGCAGCAGCGCGGCTAAAGGCCAAAAGTGTGTCCAGCAAGGCGGCCAGGAACTCTGTCGCCAAGTCGAAGCCGGCAAAGACAAATTCGACTCTGAAGCGGAAGTCGATTGCTGTCCAGTCGCGTGCCGGCTACCCAAAAAGGCGGCCGGCCGCGGTTCATGTCCCGAAGAATCACTTGGAAGATTTGTTTGCCTGAGCCTCGCTTGGATGTGCAAGTTTCGCTAATTCGTTGC